TTTTTTTTCTTCTTTTAACTACCGGTCAGAGATGTGAGTGTTGAAATTTCGGTGAAAACGGTTTAAATTTAAAGTTTACTACGGCTTTTCATCAACCTTTATCTTGATCAAACTCATTAAAAGAGGCGTAAAAATTTGAATGCAAATAAAAAAGCAAGAACGGGTTCTAAGATTTTTGTTGCACTGTCAGAAAGTTTAAAAAATTTCAATGTTTGAGTTTTTTGAAAAATACTTTTTACACCGTGTTCTTTGAGACGGTAAAGTTGTTGGTTGGGTCGGTGCAAATTTTTATATATTATTCGTTTCTCTAGTCTTTCATTCTATTACAAATATTTAGCCAATTTTTAATGAGTTGAATAGCTCTTATAACAGATGCTTATGGTGGCAGTGATTGCAAATTTGAAAAATATCGCTGTAACGGAATAATTTTTGATGTTGCCGTAAAGATTCTACCGTAGTTATTAATTAGCAACCTGTGGCTTTTCTTTCTTTCTTCTCTTCTCTTTTCTCCTCTTTTTTTTCTCTCTTCTTCCTCTGCTTTTTCTTCTTTCTTCTGTTTTTATGTTTTATCACTTTTGTCATTATCATTAACATCATTATTATCCTGTCAGTACTGTTCTTATCGCCACTGTTATTATCATCATTATTGTCTCCACATCTGATTTACCTTATAACAGCAGTAAAGACAACAAGCACATAAAAGCGGAAATGCTTATTTGCTATTTATCAGACCTTGTTTTTTGTTCTTTTTTTATCCAATTTGCTTAAAATTCAGTATTTCTTTTTCCTCTCTTTATTTTTTTTACTTCGTAATATTCCACTTAGTTCATATGGTTTTAAAAAAGGAAATTCTTTGTAAGAGTTATTACGCAAATCAGTTGTCTAGTTCGCAGTAGTTGTTTAAAAATATATACATTTTAGCCTTTTTTTTTTCTTTTTTTTTTTCTTGCTTAGTTTTTTAAGGTGATGGATTTTGTAGCTTACTAATTTTCTTTATTTAGGCTGTGGAAATTCAACCATTGGAAGATTTTCCGGAGACAATTCTCGAATTGCAGGAAGAAGGTGAAGAAGGGGTGAGTGAAATTATGACATCAAATCCAGAGCCGGAAAGCACGTGTCGGATCAAACTTTTGCGGTCTGAATTACCTCCGGATATGCAACCGGAAGGAAATTCGGAGTTACGATGTGCTGTCAACGTAAAGGAACGAGTGGAAATAAATGGTTCACAGTTTGGTCTATTTTACTAAATTTTCTATTTAATCACTTTTTCTTATTCTCTTCCCTGTTTATTTCACTATATTTGTTGTGCGAATCAACGAAACAAATGGAGTCAGAAAATTTAAAAAAAAAGAACGGTTTATTTGATTTAGATTATGGTATAGCGTAGAAAGCTTAGGTGTTATTCCTCTGACATGAAAAAATAGTTGCTTTGGACAAAAGGAAAAAAGCGGATGAGATTCTTTCTGCTTTTAAATGCTTAAAAACCTTATTTTAGATAATAGAAGAAACAGCAATTTTCTTGTTGTTAACAATAACGGAAGTTTAGTTAGGCATTGTAAAGAAGCG